CAAGCGAACGCACAGGTGCTGCATTAGATCACCCTTTTTTAAGCTGGTGTAGTTGGCACCACACTACAACACATAATTAAAGACCTCTCTATTGCCGATTAATAGCGTCTTTTTCTCTCGAAGTACAGTGCGTCCTTTCACCTCCGCTGCGTCGGAGTGCGGGAGTGGCCTTTGCTTTTACGCATTTAGGGCGCCTCTCGGATGACTACGACTCCATTCCTTTCACGACATTATTAAACAATAGGAAGTCGGTTTAACTCATTTTTATGCATTTTTTAGGTGAAAGGGAAAGGTAGGATGTAAAAACAAACATTGGTGGATGTGGAAAATGCCCTTTCTATCCACTAGGTTAGTCCTAACGTTATTGGCCTTAGAGGTGATCAGTTTGGCAAGCACATACAAAATGGGCAGTTGGAATAGCAACTTAGGGCCTATTAAAGGCGGTTAGAGACGGCCCTCACCAGTCTTACAGGTCTCACAGTTAACAGCATTCCTTCAACTTGTATTAACTCATACTCTATCGGCCGAGTCCTGAAGACTAACAAAAGTGGAATAAAAAACAGAGAAGGAAAGAAGGCGAAAGTAAAATCATTTAACGCCTAAATAGTGCTGGCACTCCTTGCCGGCTTGTTATTGAATGCTACACGAAAGCTTAGCGTTTTGAAGTCCCTATCTGCTTCACCTCTTCCGCCTTTTCCATCTTCTCTTTCGACAGTCTTCAAACTCAGTGGATCAAATCGTTCCTTAAACGCCTCACAGGAGAGTTGACCTCTGTCGCCCAGCTCTACACCTGGCTGCTCGAATTCTAAGCGACATCTAAGACCTCGCAGTCGATTTGGAAGATCAGCCTGAATTCCGATGTCATAGAGAGTAACTCCGGCAGTCGGCTGTTCCAAAGGATAGGCGTCTTGTGGGTCAATGTTTGCGTAGACGTGCGAAATTTGGGTGTAATCCTTTCCCACCACCTCTCCCACCTCCTCATCCGTGCTGTGCTTTTCTCCTACCACGTTGAAGTCCTGGGCAATAAATGATTTCCCAACTTGCATTTTCTTGCCACATTTACGGACGTCAACCCATTCAATTATCGACTGTTCCATTTCTGTCGTCTTGCAACTCACACAAACACCATTTTGGCAAGCAACAGTATAAAGCAGTGGAGGTCTTTGTGACATCTCATCCCCGCGCCAATGCTGATGTCGACGAAGTGTTGAAGTGCCCGTAGAAGTGGCGTCTCCATCCCCAGTGTTAAATAATGCCGAGGTGGACAATTGTAGAGGAGTTCGATGCAATTTGGCCAAGTCCGATTTCTTTATGTAGTTGATCCGATCTAGAGTTAAACTTTCATAGGGTCGTTGAAGTCGTTTTGGTGAAGTGGAAGGAAAACGAGCTTTCATTCGACTCGCCTCGTTGTCAGACAAACCGAAATCTTCATCGCTCGGAATTTTGTCCTTCTTCCTACTTAATGTGTGACGGCGTATGAAGATGGGTAGAAAGCGGTAGAACCGATCACGCCTCCGACTCCTTGAAGGAGACTCCATGTCTCGGCTACCTTTACCAGTCTTTGAAGGTCGGGAAACCCATGAAACACTGTGCTCTCCATACCCACCTGAGGAGTCCGTTGAATGGGGACAGCTCTCCTCAGCATCAAACCCGTCAACAAGGAGACACTTGTGCTTAAATTTGGGATGAGTTGTTCCCAGTGATTTTGACGAATCGGAGGTTCTTGACGAAGTCTTGTGCTCCAATTTTGGTAAAAATGAGTCGGCGCAGTTGGGAGGTTGGAGTCGGATCATGGGTGTTGCACTTGCTTGGAGCGACTCAGTTGAGTCTTTTGACATACTGTCTGGTTTTTCTGTCTCATACCAACTGAAAAGAGTTGAACGAATCAAAGTACAAATCGCAGTAAACAGAGAAACATTCTTTACTTTCGATACCACTTACTCCCTTTCGATCTCATATTTTGAGCTAATTTCTGGAGTATCCGAAGAACAGTAGCGTTGATAGCAGACAATCAATTCCTAAGACAATAAAAATTCTCTCTAATTAAATTTCCAGACTACAAATAGTTTCCTTTTTTTCGTTTTCGGCATATGTTCATTAAACACGAATCGTTGACAGAAGGCACTATGCCATTACTCGACTCCATTATTGTGGTTTTAACAGTTTACTTCCGTTTTCTGCACGATTGCAGATCTTCCGTTTACACTACCGCAGGAGATTCTCATTACATTGTCAAAGTGCAA